CCCTATAAGTAACTCTGCCTCGAAAGCTGCATCCTGTGCTTGTTGGAGATTCTTTGGTCCTTTAGATAATGTGCGTGTTTCTATTTCGGGTTTCAAATTTGCGGTGAAAATCTTGGTGGCTCGTTCGTTTTCAAGATCTATAGCGACTGCACGACGTATCGGATCGCGAATTTCGTGTTGGAGTGCGTATAGTAGTTCGTTGAGGTTGTGTCGGAACCTCTTCACATAACTGTGTACCGATTCGTTGAAGTTTTGTCGTGTACGTTGCAGTTTATCGTGGGCTCCGTTGGATGTGATACTCACGGATACAAATTTTCTGGGGCTTTCAAACAGGTCCTCGTAATTCTCGATTTCGGTGTGGCGGATACTGCGTTCCGCTTCTCCAATGATTCTTTGCGTTAGAATTAGTCGTAATAATATGCGTTTTTCTCGACATTCGGCTCGAGCTTCTCTTACCCGTTTAATAAACCCTTCTACTCCTATATCGTCTTGTCCATTGAGTATAGGGATAAAATCTAGGCAGGTTTTTGCATTGTACGTGGGGTTGTCACAACTTACTGCTCCTTCTTCACTGTCCATATCGTCCGTTTCGTTAGGTTTTACAGGTGGTCGTTTTCTCTGAACATTGATCTTCGGTTATAATAGAGTTGAATTCAGATGTAGCGATTAACTGAATTCCTAATCGTAGTTCAGCGTAATTCCTACTTAAGAGTTCGATTTCTCTAACGCGTTGTTGGCTTTCGTCTTGTATTAATTTATACAAATTATTAAAAGCTAGTTCGTTTTTTTCGTTCTGCTTCCGCATAGCGTCTAGTATGGCCCGAATATTTGGATCCACATCAGTAGCCATAGGGCTAACAGAAGACGTGTCTTCTGATTTTTTGCTTATAGTGATTATTGTACTGTTGTTGGAGTCTGTACTAGCGAAGCTATTGCGACGAGTACGATAATATTTAAAAGAATCCAGTTCTTTACCTGAATATTCTTCTTTTCGTGACCAGTTTCAGTTTTGGTGATGACCGTAGTCCGCTTTCCGTAGAAGTCGTTTTCACGCAAAGTGAGCTGATCTGCAGAGGTCCGCTGATCCCTCAATCTTCAATGATACACGTATGCCGAAATGCGTAATTTCGTTTTCTTGAAGTTGATGGATCCTGGCAGGATCGCCAAAATGTCACGTAATTTTTAGGGTTGGTTGGTGG